CGGGCCCGCCCGGCGCGGGGGGCCGGCGCGGGGGCCTCCTCCCCGGTGTGCTCCTGCTCCGAGCTCTCGTCGTTGCGGGTGCTGTCGTCGGTGCGGCCCACCCCGCTGTCCTTCTCGTGCTGGTTGGACAGGACGGTGGCCGTGTCCGTGGTCCCCTCGTCTTCCTCATGCTGCTTCTGCGCGACGGGAAAGGGCACAGGGTGAGCTACCTGGGACGGCTTCTCCGCTCACAGCAGTGCCGCCCACACCGGTGTTTCCCCAGCAAACAGGGAAGGCCAGCGGTCCCTTCTCTCTCCTGAGTGCTGGCAGGCACCGAGCCCCAGGGCAGAGACAAGCGGCCTGCTCTCCTGCTGCCTTCCAGGTGGGGGTTCCGAGGTCCTCAGTTGGCATCGAGGAGCGGGTTCCCGCGCACTCGGAGGGCGAGGCCAGGCGGGGCTGGTGGGGCCTTACCTGCTGCAGCACGCGGGCCGTGAACTGCATGGCCTGGTGGTGCTGCTCCTCCAGCATGTCCATGTGCAGGTCGTCGAGGAAGTCGTTCCTGTCGTCGTCCATCCAGCTCTCGTCCAGCTGTGGAAAAGGAGCAGCCAACATGTGTCTCAGAGGACAGCCCTTCTGCTTTCATTTAATTAACTTATATTTTTAAAGAAAAGGCATTTCCATGGGGAAAAATATTTCTAGGGCAGTCTGCCTGTGGTTTTGCTATGTATCAGGAAACTGCCAGCCCCACCCATGTCTGGGGTGGTCTCCAGTGTTGGTTTCATTTTTGCAGAGAGAAGCTCCCTCACCCACGTCAGCCACTTTCAGAGACGCAGGCCCCATGCAGGGCTGGGTACAGCGAGCCCGGCGTCCTGGCTGCTGGCCACACAGAGCAGCAGGCCCCCCTCTCCCTTGTCTGTAAAAGAGCCGACTGTTCAGACTGCTCAGGGGCCCTTGATCGATGGCCCATGTGCCAAATCTGGCCTTTTATTTTTATTTTAATAAAAAGCTTGTTGACCAATGTTTCTTTTTTACATGTAGGCAGCCAAAGGCAGGCAAAGGGAATTACGTATCACCTTCTCCCCAAGAACCGGCAGCGCCAGGTTTTACTCCAAGTTGCTACTTTCTGAAGATGGCCACGTGAGGCTCCTTGAGGAGGGAATCACCTTGGTTTCTTTAATTAAAATAAAAAGTGTACTATGTTTAGGGTATGCATCATGATTTGATAAACATAGTGAAATCACTACTACAGTCAAGCTAACTAATGTCATCTCAGTTACATTTTTTGTGAAAAGAGCACCTGAAATTTACCCTCTCAGCAAGTTTCCAGTGGCCAGGAGAGTATTATTAAGTCCAGGCACATGCTGTGCATCCCGGGCAATTGTAAATGACACGCGACCTAGGCTGGGACATTGGTCAGCTCTTGATGTCTAACACCTTGATGGTCGTGACCCTGCTGTTTTCCATTCCACGTTTTTCTCTCTCCCCTCATTCAATCGCTGTGTTAACACACCGGCTGGGCTGCAGTGTAACTGCCAGGGTGGTTGTCAGCACCATCCTCCAAGGGTAAGACATGAAACAGGCTCTAAGTCTCATGGTGAGATTACCTTTCCAGGTACAGTGTCTTCGAGTTCGGACCCAATACCTGGGCAGTACTCTGCAGGGACCAGAACTCGGGGGTTTCGTTTAGAAATACAGACCCAGCTTCCTGCTCAAGAAGCAGACTCACCTGGAGCTCAGGCCTTGCGATGAGCAAGGAAAAGTTCTTGTTTTCCTCACTGGTTAGGAGAGCCACAGCCTCTTCGCGGTTCCGTACCTCTATCCCATTAATCTTTAAAAAAAAAAAAAAAAAGAGGTGACAGTGTGGATTCGAACGCAGAATGAAATCAGGCAGGATCCGTCTGTGCTACTCCTGGCTGCATCTGCTACCCACTTACAGCTAGAGCACAGAACTCTGGCAGAGCTTGAAGAGAATGCAGATTTCAGGAGGGGCCCTGCTCAGACTGATGCTGCGCCTGGCCCAGAACAGAGCCCCCTGGGTGTCCACGGCCAGTGTACAGTGGAGGCCGTGGGAATGAAGTGTGTGAAGAAAGAACATGTGGGCAACTGAATCAGACATGAGACTCAGCCGAAGGTGCTAAGACATCACTAGAGGTACTTTCAGATCACACGGAGCAGCAGCCGGTCTGATGGGAACATTATGGAGGCTGGGGGCAGAGAAGGAAATGGGAGAGGTGGTCAGCGGGAGGGACTCTCTCACCATCACACCTGGCAATGCTCCTGCAGGACTTTTGCTTCTAGTCCTGAGAATCTGGGGCTCTGCTGGTCTGGAGGTGTCAGTCCCAGGGGGAACGATTCCTCAGGGGACACAAGGATGGTCCCACTGAGCTGGGAAGCAAGCCGTCCCCCAACTGGCAAGCAAAGGGTGACTACTGGTTAGGGTGATGGATCCCAGTTACCAGGAGAAATGGGGCTGCTGCGACAGCAGGGACAGGCGGGCCCTGCCCAGTGTAAGTGCCGATGGGAGCCTACGACCACCAAAGGCTGGGCCGTACTGAAGCAGTGAAGGTCTGGGGCTCTCCACCAGGTGGGGGTCCCTGAGCAGCTGAGGTCTGGGGTGAAGTCTGAGGAACGTAATGACATGATATGAATGCAGTGGGTCAGAGTGATAAGAGGCAGCAGCTAACCCCGGGGGACACGTGAGCCAAAGAACCTCGGTTTCTGTGAGATCAGAAAAGACTGGCTGAAACGGAAAATGTCTCATTTTGATTCAAAACAGCAGCAGGCTCAAGGGCAAGAACTATCCTTACAACATATTCTTTTAAATGCTGAGATGTCCCCATTTTAAAGGCAAGACCAAAGCTGAAACACTTGCTCCAAAATTAATCCTTCAGAGGAACCCCCAATGAAAATTATTCTGGTTTGCCCGGGAAGCCGACCTACCTGGATGATGCGGTCGCCTTCCTGGATGCGCCCGTCCTTGGCCGCGATGCTGTTGGGGTCAATCTGGAATACGCAGGGAGTGTCTCAGCACCAGGTGGACAATCCAGCCCCCATGAACACAATGGCACTTCCCAAAGGTGGTGGGTACCACAGGCATGTCCTCCCTAAACAAGACCCGGTGCCACGCAAGGGAGGAAACATGATGGTCCATGTCTCCAGGCACTTTCTGGGGCGTGCTTTTGGGTCTCTGCCTGGCAACCCTGTCACACAGTCCTGTGCACAGGCCCTACCAACCCTGGGGACGCAGCAGACTCTTGCTACACAGAAATGAAAAGCTTGGTGGACAACATCCAGAGAGAAGGTTACTGAGCCCAGGCTGACAAACCCTTGGTCCATCCCATAGACACAGATCCCGCTTCCGACAAATGTTTCCCTGCTTGCAAAAGCGAGTGCACGGCTCCATGCTGGTGGCTGGCTTTGCACAGACTTCTCTAGAGGGCCAAACAGCTCCCGACTACGTACTTTGAAATGCCTTTAACTCCTATGAATTCCACTACACACGTTCCACCAGAAGGAAGGAGAGAGAGAAAGGTGCTTGGCCCAGTATGAGGGACTCCGCCACCCCATCAGACGATGAGATCAGAAATAGGAGTCTGCTGCTCCCTTGGGGATGGACACACAAAACCCTATCATGGCCCATCTGTAGGCTTCTCAAGGGCAATTTCGTCACATGTGCTGACATTAGAACTTAACCCCCACTGAAGATGTAACTTGAGGGGGAGCGATGAAGGGGCAGGAATCTCTGTCTTTCCAAAGGATTCTCAATGAGGCAGAGTTAAGGTCAGTTAACACACAAAAGAAGGAAACCCCCTCTTTTGGTCCTGGCATGGTCATTACGAAGAGCCGCCCGCGCACCTCACTTATGTAAATCCCAAGGTCATCCTCATCGTCTGTCCGGTAGCACACGGTGAGGCCCAGCTTGTCCTGGCTGTTTGCTCGGTACAGGTCCACCTCCTGGCAAAGAAAGGGCCCCCGTGAGACTCCGCAGGCAGGGCAGCTGCCAGACCTCACGTGCGTGAAGATATTCTGTTTAAATGATGAGCTGAATTTCTTTGCAGCCAACTACAAGTGGGGTTCACTGACTAAACAAAAAGTGATTATGGACACGGGATCAATGCACACGGCATTTCTGACCTTTTCAGTCAATAGAAAGTCATTTTGGAAATAGTTATTTCATTGATCCCCCAAAAGAAAAATTACCCATATTTCACTCAACATCGGGACTTCAGGGTTAGGGCTTTTAAAAGGCATTTTCTCAATGTCTGCCACAAACAAGAATATTTCCACACCCCAAACCTTCCAGCCGTTTCACTGCAAATGTTTCCATGTGTTTGGTTAGATTACTTCATGTTGTGTTGCCTTAATATTCACAGTAACAGAACTTGCAAACAGATTATACGTAAATTGATACAAGAAAGGAGGGAAATGTGATAGTAGCAATTAATGCTCCTCACAACAGCTGTGATGTTTATAGCCGAGAAATTACTTTCAGCCACTATTACTGCAAATTAAAGATAAAAGCAAACTGAGCCCGAACATGAGGCATATGAGCACATGGGATGCTACCGTATCTGCCACTTAGTCCACGCTGCAGAATGAAGTCTAAGTCTGACAACTGTTGGAGCCCAGGAGGAAGTTCTGGGGCCCTGAGCATGCCAACTGGCCATGCCGCCCTCTCTGCCACGAAGCCGTGGCTGCTGCCACGTGAAGGGCCACCTGGTAGTGTTCTCCCTGTGGCAGACCCTTTGGTCTGGTTTTACAGTGTTATCTTCTCAGCAATTCGGGGTCTCTGAGCCCGCTGTTTTTGGGGACCAATCCCTCTCGCCAGGCTCACTGTGGAGGGTGGTGTGGATGCAGCTGTCTTGGTGACAAAGCTCAAAGCAGTTATGTAGCAGCTACTTCCTAACCCTCCTGTGAAAGGCAGGATGCCCAACACCTCAGACACTGTGCCGCCAAAGGACAGCAGGTGCGAAGGTCCTGGCCCAGTGGAGCCAACACTCTGTGTGCGAGGGCCAGGGGCGGGGCTGAGAGCAGCAGGCGGTGGGGCTGGACCAGCTAGGGCCAGAGGCCAGCATGAGAACTCAAATTGTATTTCAGCATCACGGGAAACCGTGAGAAGTTCTACAAGCACCGCCACAACCTATCTGCAGCCATCTTTCTGTTGCCGTACAGAATGTGATGCAGGGAAGAGTTGGGGCTGTGAAGACCTCAGGTCCCAGCCCTGCCTCTTTCCAGCCGCTGCATCCGGAGCCCACTGCAGTGCCTGGCCAGAGGAATGACGGTGGCTATCGTACAATTTATAACCAGACACGTTTTGGGGCTCAGTGGAAATTACAATTCTTCAGAGTTATTGGGTGTTTTGTAAATTCTCAACATTTCATTCTGACAGCGGAGGCAGAGGCCTTAGCTCACCACAGAAAGCATGGAAGTGGTAACACACATCTGTCTGTGATGATGGAGATGAGATTTCAAAGACTGTTAATCAAACTGGCCTGAATAATGCACAGCATCCTCTGGATTACAGCTTCCCCCACCGGGGTCCTGCTGCTTATTGGTCTGGATGGGTCACTGGATAAAAATGAGCATCTATGCCTGACATTTCAGATGCAACTGAAACGATAGTCCAGTTAAGGCAATGAAGAGGACCACTCCACCCCGTGAGCCAGGCTTCCTGTTCCGCTGGCAGACGCCTTACTCGGAGGGTCCCAAAGGACAATGTGATGGCTCATCTACCTGCAGGAAGGGGGGTCCCCGAGGCAGAACCCTTCACATACTGGTCCAGGACCGACCGCTGTGCACATTCTTTAAATTAACGCAACACCTCCTCTACCTACGCACAGTGCTACATGGGGTGTAAAGATGTCTCTAAAAAGACTGCATTTTCCTTCACTTTCACCTCACCCTAAGTTTGGGTTAGGGAAACAAGACATTTACTCCTTTCCTTGACAAGTATTTACGGGGCACCCATTCTGCACCAGCACTGTCCAGGCAGAGCAATGCACATGAAGGAGGCCTACCAGAGCCCAGCTCTCAGGGCCTGGGATTCCAGTGGGGAGCCAGACGACAGGTGGGAAGTGGGCTGTGGGGTCCGAGGGCTTCGCAGGGAGCGGTCCACCTTCTCTGGGGGACACGCTGTGCAGACTGAGACAGCAGCAGGCGGTCTTGATGGCAGGTGGTGGTACAAACGTGGACGGGGTCCCCAGGACACTGGGAGAGTGGTGAGGAGGTGACTACAGGGGGCAGGGCTGACCAGGGAAGGTTCTGGAGGAGCCCTGAGCTATGCCTGGAAGGCTGAAGGCTGGACCTCTTATGTTCTCTCTGAGACACCCCCAACCCCATGACTGCTCTAAGGACCCAGGGGTGGAGCACCCCATGCCCTTTGGGAAGCAGCGCCCCCTGCCCTCCTTGGAGTCAGCATCAAGCCATCAGAACACACACAGGTGACAGCAGCCCCACACCTGGATAGAAGCTACTGATGAACCAACAGGGAAATTAAAACAATAAATAAAGAGAAGAGCCTCCTTCGGATGTCTGCTTTCTTTCTTAATTGCCAAGAGGAATCTCTAGAGCAGGTGTTCCATCCATGAAAATTTATAGATGAATTTGGCTGCTCGACCCTGGAGTGTATGTGGGCACCATCCTTCTAACTCGAAGCAGTTTCCCAATGGCAGGGATCTGACACTTGGGTAAATAGAATCATTTTGTGTGTTTTAAAACAGAGGACGTCTGTTTTTCTCTGTGCACTTGCTCCTGGGAAATCCCAGCATGCTCAGGCATTGTCCTCCCGTGGGACATCCGTGGAGCTAGTTCATTCTGAGAGGCTTGGACGTGGATCTGAGCTTTTCTCTCTCCACACAGAGCCTGATAACCACGTCCCAAAGCACAAATTTACATGTTTTTTTAAAATTTATTTAGAGTCCCGTCCTGGGTGTGTGAAGTCCCATCACTGACTCTGCCAGGCTTTGGTGCACACCTTCCGGTAACTGCTCTGAGCTCCCTACGGCTCCTCTTGCAGTCACCACTGTTTATGCTCATGTTCTAGAAGAGGTGATAGTGTTTAAGGGGACCTGCCCACACCCAACAACAGGTCTGCCTACTGATTCCCTTGCTAAAAGTTTTCTAACACTGATCTTGCAGAAATTAAGCAAATCCAAGACTTCCTTGAAGTGTTGAGGCCAAAAATGACTGGAGATTCTGGCTGCTACATAATGTTGAACTGGACTCTGAGGTGTAAAATACCCAGAGGACACCAGGCTAGAGTGCTATTCCTCAGATGCCTTTGGAGCAATGGGAAGTCGTTCTTTTAAAAGAAATTCTCCAGGAGTCACTCGGTTTGGACTTAGAGAACTTACTGGTTGTTATGTGGCCCTGAAACGAGATGCCCTCACCTCCAGCTCCAGCTCCTCCCTGTCCATGTCCTGATGGACCCCTCCCAGGTAGTCGCTGGGGTCATAGTACTCGTGGGCCGAGGGATGCCTGCAGAGAGAGAAGAGCTATGAGGTGCCGCCTGTGGTCACAGGGCCCGGCATGTGCAGGCAGCAGGGTCCGGTGCCTTGCCGCCCCACACCTCTGTGTCTCCCAGCTCGGTCAGACGCTGAATTCCCACCACCTGTGCTCAAGTCCATCTCCCCCGGAAGAAGGGGTTCAGATGTGAGCAGACAGGACCTCCCTAGTCCACTGGTCATGTGACCCAAATGCCTGCTTTCTCTCCCATCTCTAGGCACAAGATGGACTCACACTTACCACTACTGCTTCACAGTCAGACTTATCTCTGGGGAGAAAGGCTTGGATCTCAGGCAACACTCAGACCGAGCCCTGAGGCTGGTTCAAAGGGCTGCGACCACAGCTGCTTCACTGTCCTCAGGGCAGCATCTTTTCAAACTTTCTGACTGTGCTCACAGAAATCTGTTCCAGGTCACAGCCGAGCACACACGCACAGGTATGCAATGTACGTACGTGTGTGTGCCTGTGCACACACATGCACACACCACACATGCATGCACATGCACGCACACACACAGCTAGAAGAACTGAGCTTTCTGTCTCCAGGAAACAGAAACTGCGTTATGTGCCGCAGTTCTCAGAACCCAGCTTGTCTCTGGAAGCGCAGAATGGACCCGCTCGGAGCAAAGGCAGCCAAATGCAAGACATGCTCATTTGGCAGCTCTGGAAGGTGCCAGGTGGGGATGCAGAGCTTCAGCCCTGATTGCTGGCTGGGGACCAGACCTCCCTGTTCTCAGAGGTCAGCACAGTGGTCAGCAGGCTCTGGTCTCACCTCCCGCAATGTGGTTATGGGAGGAGAGATCAGGCCTGTGTGGTTGTTCAAACGGGCCGCTTTCAATACCCTGGGCCCACCAGGGGCGTTCAGTGCAGGCATGCTGCCGGAGGCCAGGCTGGTAGGCATCCAGTTAACACCCCCATTCAACCCAACACACACTCCTGCTGACCTCTGACCTACAGCAGAACTGGAGAGGTCTGACCTCTCCATGCTCCCGACATTTCCCAAATTGCCCCTTGGGGATAGGTCACGTCACATTAACTAGGCTCAGGAGGAAATTAGGGGTTTTGCTTCTAAAAGGCTGTCATGGTGACAGTTCAACATGTGAGCATCCGGAGCAGCCTGAATGGGCTCATCAGTGAGAGGCAGTTTGCTCTGTAGCGTCAGGTGGCTGGTTTGAATGACCCCACTCAGGGCGTCCGCCAGTTGTCCCATAGAACCAACTGGATGATGCCCAGTGTCACATAACAATCTGGGAGCTGAGGAGAGACAGACCTGCCTTAGATCCAGCTGCCAGTGTCAGCTGAGCAGCACAGGAGAGCTGCGGCCTCAGCACAGCAGGGCCCGTGTGCGGAACGCAGGTAACAGGTGACAGCTGGGTGCGCACGCCCTGCGCGCTGCCTGGATGCCTGACACCCGCCCGCTCTGCCCCTGCACTTTGTCTGCTGTAGCCATCGAGCCTGGGCATTGGTCTGGCTTCTGGTGGCAGCTAAACCTGACAACCGGGGGTGCAGGGGAGCCCTGGAGCCTGAGGGAGCCATGGGACACGTCCTCACTCTGGGTACTGAGGTACTACTACAAACCCAACAGGTCTCACTCAGGTGTTCCCCAGATGAGGTGAAAACGCCCTTTGAAATAACGTGCCAGTGAGTTACCTGAGCCGGGCGCAACATGGGCAGAGACAGGAGGGACTGGCATCAGCCAGAGACCAAGGCCAGAGGTGGACGTCTGGCCCTCAGATGTGCAAACTCACGTGAGGGGAGCTACACTGAACTGACATCTTTAAGCCAGCAGCCGAGCTTAGAAAATTTCCTGCTTTCCATTTTTTCCTGAATATTGAACCTCAATCGCTAAACAAGGACAACTGCTGCTCCCATTTGGAGTGTTTACCACACGCTGGACTGAGCGCTCCCCACGCGCCGTTCCACTTAACCCAGCGATCCCGTGTGGCGGCTGTTACTGTCCCACCTCAACACAGCAAAGCCCAGGGGAAATAAGCAGGTCGCCCAGCTGCCTGGCAGGCGTCGGCTTGAGCACCAGGTGAGTGGGGCTCGCAGGCTGGGCGCCCATCCCTGACGGCAGACGGCAAAGGAGAGTCTGTGTGAGTAATGAACCTGGTGATCCCACCTGCTGTTTCACTCCCACGAGGGGGGCACCTTGGGCTCTGACAGGGCCCAGGCTCGGAATGAGGCCCAAGAACCGGAGCTCACAGCCTCCGGCGCCCTTTCCACCGCAACTTTGTACTTTGTCTTTGCTCCCCTCCCGCTGCAGCCACGAAACCTTCACCCTGCCCCTGTGCTGATTAAATTTCATTCCGAAACAACTTGTACGACATTAGTAAGTAATTTTGTTCTTAGAATATAATTTGAATAACTCTGTTCCAGGGTCATAATAAAGTAATTAATATGTTACAGGATTCAATTTATTGCCTCTATAAACAATACAGTTAAGAATGAGCAACTCGGAGGAAAACTTAAGACGTGCTCACTGTTTCCCCCGTGGAGGGGACACGCAGCCTCAGGAGCCTCTTTACTTAGCACAGTTCATACAGAGGGAGGCACAGCGGCGGGCGCTACTTACTCCTCCGGCAAGAGGTACGGCTCCAGCGCGGGCGGTGCCGGGGGGGGCATCTTGGAGAGAGCCATGATGTGCTCGAAGGTGATGTCAGTCTGGGTGCCCGTGTCCACCAGCGGCGACTCGGGTGCGGCCGGGAACGCTTTGGTCCGCGGCGTCCTTCGCAGCACCTGGACCACAATGGGCTCCTTGGCCGTTCTGAAAGCCTCCACAGCCTGGTCATGCGTCGCTCTGGATAAGTCTTTGCCGTTGACCTGTCGAAAGCATTTAGGGTGGGACAAGATTTTCTAATTAGGCAGGATCTGGAAAGACTTTTCACAGGCAAGCAGTTAAGAGGAGGGACGGCATGGGGATGTCAGGGACTGCAGTTCTCCCCGTCTCGGGTTCCTGAGGAGAGCCTGGCGGGAGGGGCGCGTCTGGAAGTCCACAGATCCTGCACTAAACACTAAATCTCACAGCGGGACGTCGTGGCTCCCCAATGGAAGGTCTTTAACACAAGCTCATCACCGAGCCTGTGAGAGAAAGAGCAGCCTCAGGCGCAGAGCCGCTATCAGCAGTAACAGCCGATTAGAAGTTAATTACACTGTCATGTTGCAATGGGGCATTGCCCCAGCCTGTGTCAGGTGACATTAGCGTTTCCTTTATGGAAGTGATATGAAGTTTCCTTTTTTTTTTTTTTTTTTTATATCTTTA